TGGGTGTGGGTGTGGGTGGGTGTGGGTGGGTGTGGGTGTGGGGTGTGGGTGTGGGTGCGGGTATGGGTGTCCTTTGTAATACACCGACACTTACATCCACACCCACACCCACACCCCGAAAAAAAGGATGCTCTCTGTGGGACTCGATCCCATACCTTCTGCTATCTGAACAAATGTACTGGCCTATTAGACCAGAAGAGACATCTCAATCTTCTTTTAGCGTTAGACTGTACCATCACTGATGCTAACAGCTCGATGGTGAAATTACAAGAACTTTTCACTCTATGTTTGATTTTTGGCTTTTCCTCTTTTCAAGTTCGTTCTGGAAAATATGTGTGGTGCAAAACTTGTAGTTCAGATATTCCTCTTTGTAATAAAATAAAATTTAATTAGTTTGCAAGTTGGTAATATGGCCTAATAGCATTTGACATTTTTGAAAAGAGTTTTGCATTGTATGTTAGATTAGGATATTGTATGCACTAAATACGCTTGACCCTTCTAATTGGTCCATTAAGGAGTTTCTCAACTGACTAATAGGAGTGTGAAATGTCCTCTTCATGATTTAGTCATTACTGCGGTTAGTTGACTGGTAAGTTAAGAGGCCACTTCTGATTGGTCTATTAAGGGGTTTTTTAACAGACCAGTCGATAAGGATATCGTGTGCTATAGATATGTTTGACGGTTCTAATTGGTCCATTAAGGAATTTCTTAACAGACCAATAGATTAGGAGATTCTATACTATAAATAAACACGACATCCTAGCACTTGTTATCAGATCGTCCTGGCATACAGGACTGATCTCGATCATCGAAACAGTCCTCTTTAGGACCAATATATATCTTGATAAACCAAACAGTCCTCTTTAGGACTAATTTACATTTTTTTCAATGACTAGCAATTGGTTCGGTCTATTTCAGATATGTCAACTAATGGTTCAGTAGCACATGGCAATGAAGGAGGAGTGGGTGATGTGGCTGGTTTACTAGCCCTCATCCCCTTCTCTGGAACCATCACTCCCAGTCAGGTTCGGCAACAGATGGTTGGTCCCATCCTTAATGACCCATCAGCGACTATCTGCAGAAGGACCACCATCTCGCATATCACGGCTGACGGATCTTTCTGCTTGTACGCCTGCGAGCGGACAGGGCAAGCCATGTGGGTACCCTCTGATGAATACTTCGTGGCCGACAGGCCACGAAGAGGACAGCAGAGAGATACTGTCATGAATTACTTGGTCGCTCAAGGAAGCCAAGCAGATAGACCCGAAGGCTATGGTATCCACAATACTGATCGTACAGCTTTTGGCGAGAATGGAAACATTCGACAACCCAGAGTCAATCATGCCAGTATGCTGGGTCGTGTGAAATGACCAGCGGCTACTCCATCCCATCGTTTCAACCCTCTGGTTTGTCCAGAACCAGCCGTGGCTAGAACGGGCAGCAGAAGGACAGTAACCAGGCGTGAACGCCGAGAGTAAGCGCGTGCGTTGCGAAACCCCCCTCCACCACCAACAACCAATTCCACAACGACAACAACGGCGAGTGATGGCGCCATTCAAGGTGGTGACGATACTAATGTAAATTCCAACAACGAGGGGGGTCCAATACCAACACCAACCGCAGCCGCAACAACAACTACAACAGCAACCCGGCCTCTCGACATCCCCAGCATCACAATCTGCAACAACAACAACTGGACAGATGACGAAACAGCAACACCACAACTCGCCACGCTCAATCTGTCCGACGACGACGACATGGACATGAGGACTTCTAGCCCATGTCCCTTTTCGTCCTTCTTTCTATTCGCCAGCAGAGGCCCTTTCGGCCCTCCAGCATTGCTTATCATCCAAGGGGAAAAAGCTGATTCTATGATTCCATTGATTCTATTGATCCCCTATGATTCTATTGATTCTATATGATTCTATTGATTCCAGAATCTGTATGAATATCATGACCTCTGTCCACTATGATGTCGTCCCATTGGGTTTTTCTCATCGCGATTCCGGCCAATCAGACTTTTTCATGCTGCAACTTTGGCCAATCAGGTTTTTTCTCGCGGCAGTTTGGACCAACAAGGTTTATCCATACAGTGCTTTCGGCCAATGAGGTATTTTCACAGCGCGGTTTCAACCAATGAGGTTTTTTCTCACGACGGCTTTGGCCAATCAGATTTTTTCATGCTGCGATTTCTGCCAATCAGGTTTTTCCATGCAACGCTTTCGGCCAATCAGATGTTTTCACAGCGCGATTTTGGTCAATCAGGTTTTTTCACACAGTGGTTTCGGCCAATCAGATTTTTTTCATGCTGGGATTTTCGCCAATCAGATTCCTCCGTGCCGCAGTTTTGGCCAATCAGATTCCTTCATGGTGCAGTTTCGATCAATCAGATTTTTTCATGCTGGGATTTTCGCCAATCAGATTCCTCCATGCCACAGTTTCGGCCAATCAGATTTTTTCTCACAATGGTTTCAGGCAATCAGGTGTTTGAGGAGGAAACACCTGGTTGGCCGAAATCGGGGAATGGAAAAATTTGACTGGCCAAAATCCCAGCATGAAAAAAACTTGAATGGCCGAAACCATGGTGTGAAGAAACTTGATTGGTCGAAGTCGCGGCATAAAAAAAATCTGATTGGCCGAAACCGCTTCATGAAAAAACCTGATTGGCCGAAACCGCGGCATAAAAAAATCGGATTGGCTAAAGCTGTCGTGAGAAAAAATCTCATTGGCCGAGACCGCGGCATGGAAAAACCTGGTTGGCAAGTATAAATACGCATTTTTTTACGTTTGATTCCACAGGATTCTATGTGATTCCAAATGATTCTGGTTGATTCGAAGTGATTCTGATTGATTCCATTGATTCTGACTGACTCTATTGATTTCAACTGATTCCGGCCTCCAGAATCAGCTTTTTCCCCCTTGTTATCATCTTCGTCGTGTCGTCTAGAGAGGCCCATACGGCCATTTGATACTTTCTTTCTTTACCAGCAAAGCCCATGCGGCCCTCTGGTAATTTTTTTTTCAGTGTCCTCAATAGGACCGTTCGGCCTTATAGAGATTTCAGCATTTTTCTTTTCTTTTAAAATACCTACACTTCCGTTTTTTACTTTTAGATTCTGATGAAGTCAAGTTGTAACTTGACAGAAACTAGTCAATAAACGTCTACACAAACACAAAAAACTTCTTTTTTTCTTTCATTTTTTCATCTTGACAATAGTGCACTCGTTAGACAAAGGTTATATCTGAATAAGAATAACCAACTACTCATAATTTTAATAAAGTTAATCGTATAATAATCTTAGTTGGCTACTTTAAAGAGTCGTAAGATCTTAAAATTAGCCCAAGAGTACTTAATTTTTCTAAAATAAGGACACCATCGAGATGTACCAACAACAACAACGACGACGACAAAACAACTTACCATCACCATCATATTCAATTCCAAATGGTATACAACTTGGTCGACAATATCAATATGGTTATCAACAACAACCTATGGTTTATCAATCATATGGTTTTGATTCATATAATATGCCATTAAATTGGCAATTTCAAAATAACTGGATGGGAGGAGCAGGAAGTTGGATAAATGGGCAACAACAAATGCCCTTACAAACACCACCATTCTATTATCCTATTGATAATACCATATTGACTACTGTGGTTTCTTCTTTGAACCAAGTACAATATAAAGATAATGAAGATGAGACACCCTCAAAAAGACGTGGTATTCTGAAAAAAACAACAAAACCGACACAACGTCGGTTAATTCATTTTATGCCAGAAAATTGGCAAGAAAAGACCATACCTGATAATCGTGGTAATAAACCAGATTAGATGAATAAAAAAGGTCAAAAGCAAAAATCAAAAAATCAAAGCTAATCTTGACACACTCTGTAGAAGAGTACGGCGTCAAAAACAACGAGCAGCTTTACTCGAAAAAAGTAATGAATTAGGTTGTTTAAAAGATAATAATCGGTTTAGTCTTCTATCTGAAAGAGATGATGACAACAATAATGAATATACAACCGATAATTCAGAGGCTGATAATCAAACTGAGGCCATGAAAAATAATAAAAATAATAAGAAGATTAAGCAGAAAAACTTGTCTAAAAAACAAAAAAGACAAGCTAGAACAACAACAGAAGTTCCGATAATTAATGAACATGTTGTTAATAATAATACAAAGACGCGAGGAAATAACCAGCGTCAAATAAATTTTTCTGATTCTGAAAAAGAAGAAGAAAATGATAATAATAGTGGAAAACCACCTTTTTTAAATAAAGATACAAGAAAATGTAAAAGTTATTTACAAACTTTTAAAATTCTCGGTTATCTAAAAAATCGTGTGAATAAAGATAATAAAATAAAACTCGACTTTAAAGATGTATTCAATGAAGTATGTGAATATGCAAAAAATACCATTGAAACATATGATAGTTGGGTACACTCTAAAACAAAGTACTCTCGGAAACCTATAGACGGCTTTCGGGTTTGTCCCTATATGAAACCCTTTATAGGTTTCCGGGAAAGGGTGTTCGAGCTCTCGAAAACATTCCAAAGCAATCAAACAACCTCAGAGCCCCAGAAACCCAGTTCGGATTTCCGAGACCACGAAAATCTTCTATAGGTTTTCGACAGCTACCTACAAAACGATTCACTGACCTATATCTGTCGCCTTATTCTAACACTTCCCTCTATATCTATTCCCTTAATCTAACCCCTTATTCTAACTCCTTAATCTATATATATCTCCT